GCCTGGCCCGCGGCCTGGGCACCTGGCCTGCTCCTGGGTCTGGTCTCGCACCCGCTGGGGAGGGGCTGCGGGGGGCAGCGAGTCTGAGCTCGAGGCTTCAAATATTCCTCCACATCCCATCACCTGCAACTTCTGGAAGTGAGCATCGGACCTGACTCCTTACTATCTCGGGAGAGTCATTCAGGGCGTGACTTAGGGAAGCAAATTTCTGGGCAGGGCGGTCGGTTTCTTGGAAAGTTACGGCCCAAGGCATCCAACCTTTAATGAGAGGTTAAGTTACTGTGAAGACGTGGCCCAATCAAAGGAGCATCTAAATGTGTCTTTTCTAGAAAAAAAAAAAAAAGAGGTTATGAGCAGCCGAAGCAGCGTTGGTGGATCTGCAGAGGTGCTGGCTTACTCAGCGGTGAGGAGTGAGGGGCGGAGACCAGGGGTGCCCCCTGCCGAGCCAGGGGCACGCGCAGGCCTGGGCCTGGGCTAGGAGTGTCTATAAGACAGGGACGTGAACATCAGCCCAGCGTGTGCTGACCTCGCTCACGAACCTGGGTCAGGGGAACACTTACTAGTGAGAATGAGAAACGAAGAGGGTGTCACCATCGGGGAAAGTTCCCCTTCCCCCTTCCCTTTTCTCTTTAAAAATTTTCCATTGCTTTTGAGAGAGAGAGGAAGGGCGAGGGAGAGAGAAAGAAATATTGATGTGAGAGCGGAACATCCATCGGCTGCCTCCTGCACGCCCCCTACTGGGGACTGGCCCCGAAACCTGGGCCTGTGACCAGGAATCCAACTGGCAACCAACTGAGCCACAAGCTCACCAAAGGCCACTTTGTAGATTTCACCTCTCTCTCTCTCTCTCTCTCTCCTTTAATTTTTGTGTTTTTTTTTAATCCTCACCCTACGACATTTTCCCATTGATTTTAAGAGAGTGGGAGGGGGAGAGACACACAGAGAGAAACATTGATGTGAAAGAGACACATTGATTGGTTGCCTCCTGCACAAGCTCCGACCATGGCCCAGGCCGGGGAGGAGCCTGCAACCGAGGTCCGTGCCCTTGACTGGGGCCCTTCAGTCCTCAGGCCGATGCTCTATCCACTGAGCCACACCGGGTAGACCTTCTCTTTTCTTCAAAGCAAAAGAGGAAGCAATCCACACGAGCAAAACCAGCCGATAGGAAGGGTTCCTGTCGGCACTTCATCCCACGCTCTCCGACTCCACCTGTTTGTCCTTGACCGACACTCAATCCTCTCCGCGTGTCCAATACACAGAAGGTAGGACTTCCCTCCCAAAGACTGCCATTGGCTGTGTAGCTGCATCATTTTCTTTAATGAAGTCTATTTGTCTTCTCAAAAAAGTAATATATTACATAGTAATATAAGCAGCCAATCATAGTATAGATATAGACAAAGACCTGCGTTCAGGTTCACATACCGACATAGACATAGGTGATGAGAGAGAGAGAGAGAGAGAGAGAGAGAGAGAGAGAGAGA